AGGTGGGACATGCAAAGAAATAGGCGGAGTTTACCACGAGGTTCATAAATCGGTCCGGAGGCAGTCCGAGGCCGGGAAAAACGGACAATTGGTTGACGATTACGGACAATTGGTGGAGGAAGAAGGGAAGGTCAGAAGCACGTGCTGTGCGCGCAATGCGTGCGGCGCCAACTGGTATTTTTATAAGAGCCAGCAGCGTCCTACACACTCCATTACAGGAAGGGCTCTTACGGAAGCTCCACTACAAATTCTTCGTTATGGGCACCATTGTGTAGGTAGAGGTCTAGGCTGCGAAACTCCAGAAGCTGGCCGAGGCAGCTCGTCAAGAGCCCTCGTACCGCGACAATATTATTTCTTTCATGACATTGCGAATCACCATGATCCGAAATGAGCCCGGTAAGAAATTCTGGAGCTGCGGCAAGATTTCTTACCTCTCTTAGCGTATTCCCCTGGTCGAGCTATAAATGACTGCCACCTATCCTGGACCTTAAATCATCATCTTGATGACGAAATAATTAGACGATCAACTCCAACTCGAAAGTGAGGTCGCCTCCTTTCTCGACCCGCACTCCGCTGGGTTTTGGAAAGGAGCATCAAGAAATTTTCTGAGCGTTGAAGACAAGTGGTGGACACTCATGGTAGATATATGACCGGTCAGGAGTTGTAAACAAAAAAGATAAAATTAAAATCAAAAATTTGAAAAAGTGTTGCAGGACTTTCTTTCCAACCTAATATGTACATGCGAATATGCTGGGTAATGCATTACACTTCTTCGTAGTTTTCTCGTATAAAAGTATCATATTCAAGAGTCCACTTTCCTCGATCGTGGCTGTAGGAGCTGTAAGAGATGTATGCAAAAATGGATGCAAATGTGTAGAATGTGCTACTTTACTGTTGTTCACTGTTGCAGTAGCTGTACGCAAGCTGTACACAGAAGGGGGGGGGGGCAAAAAAGTAGGTAGCTCGTGGCCTGCATCGGCAAAGGCTTGGTCGCGCAGGGTACAGTCGTTAATAGAAGTCATACGGCTAAATCATTTTCTTTTCTTTATTAAAGTAGGAGTAGTCCCCAACATTCAGAGCATGAAGTCGTTCGTCGCAAATTGCAAATATGCTTCCCATGCAAATTCTTCTGATGTTACCCATATAAAAGGCTACTGTGGTGTTGTTAAATATAATATAATCTAATGTGCTA